CTAGGGAACATTAGTGAACAAAGAGCACCATGAAAACCATACAACAGAGTAGAAAGGTAAGGGTGATGGACAAAAAAGTGAGAGGTTAAAAGCAGATTAGGTTGTGAAAGATGTTCCTTTAAGCTTTGGACCTCTGATAGAGCAATGTTCTAATCCTCAAACAGAAAGAGCACAGCATCCACCTAGACAGATTGTCTAACAAGGTTATCATTAATCAGAGACGGGGACTGGTACGTTTCAAGGAGCTGCAAAGCTCCATAATTCTGGTTGAAAATCTTTGAAATGGACGATTATTTGGCATGCACTCCACAGATTTGGCCATTATGGAAACGTAACAAGAAAACGTCTTTATTTAAAGAAAGTAATGATGAAAAAATGCCATTCAATATGTTCTTTGCAAAGATCCACTACTGGGTAAACTTAAGGGTACAACTGTTCAATTACGTGTGAAAATAAATTAAATAAAATTCAGTTTATTTATATACCGCCGATTCACAACACATGTCCTCTCAAGGCACTTTACAGTTCACCAGATCATACAGTCAAATTGATTCAAAGTTTTCTATCTAAGGAAAACCAATTGTTTGCATTGACTAATTGACTCAAATGAAATTCCTCACACTAAGCATGCTTGTAGTGACAGTGGAGAGGAAAAACTCCCTTTTAACAGGAAGAAACCTCCAGCAGAACAAGGCTTAGTATGAGCGGCCATCTGCTGAGGCCGACTGGGGTTCAAGGAGACAGAAGCAGATATACAAAAAGCAACTGTAAAAGGCGGCACCATCCAGGAAACATACTGATGAGCTCCGAGCCAGCTCCACTGTCAGAGGATGAAGAGAGGACATCCAGCCAGTCACAGAGAAACAGGACTACACTGAAAAACAGGCAGATCTGAGAAACATCAGAAAGAGCATAACGTTAGAGATTGAACTAACCGATTCTGCAGAGTGGGAGAATAGAGATAGAGTGCAGCTGCATGATGTAAAAATGGGGTCGCTATGTCCTCCAGAAGTCTAAGCCTATAGCACAATAACTATAGAGATAGCTCAGGATATAGCAATATTCACAGCAGAAGATGGGGAAAATGTTTCATTTTGACATTTGTCAAGCAGCTAGAGCCACAATCTATGGTACATAAAATCCTTTTACTGTAGCTGAAATTAAAGGTTTTAAAAAATATTGATATGTACATTTAAATTCACAAAACTTCATACTTCTTATTTCTCTTAAAGGCTAATTGAAAACTCACAAATGTATCTGGATCTGACACTTGAAACTCAGATGAACCACATTGAAGTCTGTTGATATGAAAAGTTGTAACAAAGTTGGATGCAAGGCTCTCTATATCTGAAACGGAAAGGATGCATTTTTTTTTTTTTATCGTAGTGCACAGATAGAAAGTGTTATAGTGGGGCAGTGGAAGCTCAGGATAAGGCCATGTCACAAGCTACACTAAAAGGATTTCCTGCCACATTCCTAGGGCTTACCTAAACTTTGAAGTCAGCCGTAACAGTTTGATGTAGCTCATAAAATAGGACGCCATGCAAACAGTGCCATCAGAAAGCAATCTGGTTTGTTCACGCCAAGAATGTTGCACTACTTCTTCTACCATCTGTGCAGTGCACTTCCAAATTATATTTTCATTATGCAGGATGTCAGAGTATGTTAGTGTCTCTTAAATTATCAATGTGCAGTTCCTAGAAAATATTACTTGCAGCTATGAAATAATATCTCCAGCAAGTCCAGTTGGGATTGGACTCCTACAACAATGTAGGCAGTAAATCTGCATGTAGATCTAGTGACTTGCACATTTTTTTTATTTGTTTCTTGCTGCGTTCTAAACTGGGCTAATTTATTTTTCATTTGTTTGTGCATAAACTTAAAAAAAATGTGAATAAAAAAAAAAAAAAATAACCGAAATAAATGAGCTTAGTAAGCCTGATTAGTTAATAGCTAAATATTTCTCTCTGATCCAGGCATCATCAGTTAAACTATATTTTGACCCCTCTTCTAGCTGCTTATAAGTCGTATGGAAGCCCTGAGAGGCAAGTAGAAAAAAACTATTCCAGACTAAAATGTTTTAAAGTATTTTTATTCTATCTGGGCATGAAATGCAGGTGGATGTTTTTTGGGGGGGGATAAAAATATAGAGGCATTTATGTATGTTAATCCAACCCTTTGCTCTAGGCTCAATGGGTAAAACTGCTGGCCTTCACTAAAGCTCTGTGGTTCAAATAAATTGTCAATTTAAAAAAAATAAATAAATAAAAATAAATAAATATATAAAAAAGTAAAAAGGTAATAAAAACAGCAAAATCATAAAGAATAAAATAATGGACCTTTTGCTAAACTATGTTGCTTTGTATCCGTGGTTATTAGCAGTAAACCATATATGATGGAGGGCTGATTTATTTCCTGAGGTGCCAGCCATTTCACACACTGAAGACATGTATGCAATTATTGTAGATAATCACAGTACAGAGATATCAAGATGAGATTTTTCAATAAGTGACTATTATATATCCATGCTCTTTGGACCCAAAGTGCTTTAGTCTTTTAGATATATATTAATAGTGTGAGGTAAGCTACACAAGCCCAAAAAAATGAAACAAACCTCTATACTGGGTTTCCGAACAGGAATACAGAACTGTATACTAGCTATAGTTTTGGAAAAAAGATTATTCCCTGTTTATGTTTCTTAAATGGTTAGCCAGACTCTTCTAACTAGTACTTTGAATGTTGACACAGAGATGCATGAAAACAGAAGGGGCTTCTTCATTGCTTGTGTAGCAGAGTGTTATTCAAAGTCTTTAGTAGTCATTCCTGTCTTGACGACAGCATCTCAAAATCTACTTCCTTTGAAAAAGGAAATCTGAGCTTAATTAAATGGTGCCAGGCCTAAAACACACAAATTATAAAAACAGCTGAAGTACCACTCAGTCACATTCTAAAAGACTGGAAAAATTAACATTACAACCAAGAGATGTCACTGCACCACTGTATAGGTACCATATTACTCAATGAAGATCAACATGACTTATGTTGAAGCAGATGATATATTCATTTAACAGATACTTTATATCTGCTTCTTTTTTCTAATATTAAAAGCCATGTTTTGTGATCTGAGATAATCTCCTTAGCTTGTTATACTCTATTTTGTGCTAACCTTTTCATCGCATGTGGAGTAAGATTTGAAGATTTATTACTGCATAACAAATGTGCCCCAGTTTATCATGTCAACCACGTGGAGTTTGATAACCTAGCTGCTAAAAATATTTAAAAAGCGAACTATAATTGCAGCAACTTCTAGAGATAAACAAGTATAATATTGAATCATAATTTTTTTTGTCAACAACATGAAGCTATTAGGAGTTTTTTTTCTACTTTTTTTTCAGTGCAAATGAAGAATACCTTGACTGTTGCAGAAGTTCTTTGTATAGCATCTTTAAGTGCAATCTTTGATTTTAGGTACAATGATAAATGCTTTGCAATCAGCCCCATTAGGCATGCTCAACTCTACCTATCCTGTTGCGAAGTAATTTTATTAATGACAGGCAACATCCGCTTCCCCTGTCGGATATTGCACTGATTTAGAGTTGGAAGTGAATAGTCTCAAGTCTCTGGGTTGGGTGGGAGCCAAGATCAGTGCCAGAAAGTCTGAGGTCAGGGCCAGGCCTCATACAAGACAAATTATCACCCACATTTTTTACTTTCCATTGTACCCTGACCTTGTCACAGTTCTTTGTGATCCCATCAGTCAACTTTTATGGCCCAATTAAAATGTCATTTTAAATTATTCCTCTATCAGTGGAATTGGAAAGCATTGAATAATGAACACATTCCTTATCATTGTTAGTTTTACTCCTGTTAAAACTTAATGTTGATTATTTTTTAATCATAAAATGTAACATACAAAATTATGTTTGATATGAAATGCACTTAAGTTGTCCCGTTGATTACCAACTGAAGTTGATTACCAACTGAACAAATATACCTAATTTCCTATGCAGAGAACAATTAGTCAGTATAGTGATGATAGTAGTCTGCCTGCACTACATAAACAAGCTACAATATATATAATTATGTGATGTCTTTTTGATGCCTCTAACCACTGATGAAGCCGACCAGGCTGTTTTCATTTGTCATCAAACTCTGTGATGCCTCCAAAGGGAGCTATCCTTGTGGGCTTAAATTGGGCAAGGACAGCAGAGATTAAAGATAGCCTATAATGAGGTTTCTCCCTCTGGAATCAATGTGTAGCTTTGTCCCAGGGGCCTGTGAAGGTTGAGTTTAAAGCACCTCACTACCAGGTTGTAGCCTAAATACACATCCCATCTATCACCTTGTGATCAAAAGGTGGCGTTTATTTGTAAACCAAGACTTTCCCGTACCATTCAGTACACTATTGTGGTCTAAATAAGTCTAGAAAATCCAGGAATATGTATTTGTCATGCTGTGTGACTTGGTGGAATAATGCAGAACTGCCTTCAGCATTGCTCTGCAAAATCAGCTTGCTTCTGTGGAATCAGATGAGTTTATGTCTAGGGGAGATATCATGGAATATGATGATCAACTAAAGCAGACCTAACGTTGTGTGTTGGTCCTATCATCTGTTAACTGATATGAATTTTAGAAGTCAAGGATGGCTTTATCCTGCCTATATTAGCCCAGAGTAGAAAGGTGCAAATTCAGTGCCCTTCATCTGTTCTGCAAGATTTACTTTAAAGCTGAACTTAATGCTGTAATTCTAGAGACCCTTTGTAAAAGTCAATTGTGCCCATGGTTAATGTAGTGGTTTTCAAAAAGGTTATTAAGTCTAAACTTTGGTTACTGCGAATGAAGGTACAGTATTTAATGTAGATTCATTTTTTTTAAGATTTCATTGACTACTCTAGGTGGTGGAAAACTGAATAAATCTGCCAATATGCTTCAACTGGATTTTCTTTGCCAGAAGAAATAATTATCTTATTTAAATTTTCTGTATTTTGTGTTTTCTGCAGTTTGTCTGCTTTGAAGCCCGGCAGCTGTGTGGGGCATCGAGTCTGGATCCTGCTGGCCATGACTCACCTCACCTTGGACTTCTCTGTCTGCAGCCCCCTCACTCAGGGTCTGGGGTTCAAGCTGATGCCTAAATTTGTTTCTCGCTCCCGGCCTCGCTTGCAGCCTCTCTGGGAAATGCCAAACAAGCTTCACTGGAGAACAGCGAGTCCGCTTGCACGCCGGCTCCTCCACCCCATTCCTCCTCCTCAAGACAACAGGGCAGGGATGGGGCTGAAATCCAAAGGTCAAACGCATCGGAAGTTAGCGCATAAAGGACAAGCTGCATGTAAGGAATGCTGGTTGAGATACTCTCAAACGGAGCCAAGTGACCCTTTGGCTGGGAAAGTGGAAGCTCCAGTGATGTTATCAAAAGGGAGTTTATTGAAGAGAGCCAGGAGGCAACTCAAGTGGGACAGCTATGACAAGTCTCAGGAGGGCCGGACTACTACGGTGCCTAGTTTCATTGACTGGGGACCCACAGGGACAGATAGCATAGATGATGATGGCAAAGCAGAATTCAATGCAACGCTGTCCACTAGGGCCTCAACTACCACAGTGGCAACAACCACTAGCACTACTTCAAGGCTCTCCTTAAGGACGTTACCTGTGGTGACTTCAACAGAGTCCAAGAGCACCACCAAGTCCTCCATCAGCAAAACAGAGACTGCCAAACCACCAAAGCCAATTGGGGACCCTCCAGGTAAGAAAAATACTAAAAAACACACAAAGAGCATAGAGTAAATTCCTCAGTGTAGAATATGAAACTATGAACATCTTTTCTAATGTAACATTGACTGATTAGTAGGGACCCATTCACTTTTCTAACTGCTTAGAACATATCACAACTTGTTGGTTTCTGCTTATCAGCTTAATCATTGAGAACTGACAAGTCTTTATTTTTGTAAAAAGTTCCTGAGCATATATTAGCATGTACTCTTCCAGTAGCTTCATTATTACTTTTACCCTTTTGCTGTGGTGTTAAATTATACACAGTTTGTCTATCTGTGCATGGATTGTTGAGAAAAAGTCTATTATCAAGGATATTTTTGTCTCAGTCTCACTCAGTTATTGTACAGAACTGTAAAGGGGGCCCACATAAGAAAATATACATGACCATTGGATTGTATCGGAATCCTTAATATTTGCTGCAGCTTAGTACTTTTGTTCACTATTTCTATTGTAACAAATTATGATTTTGATTTTCTATTCAAGTGGTTCCCAAATTTGTGGTCAAGGCCTTAAATGGAAAATACAAATATAAGACTTATGGCCACTGCATTGGTAGCACCCCATTATCAGAAAGGTATCCCTTTAATATCACAGTCCCTTTGTGGGTAATCCTGCAATTCCTATTATAAATCAATTGAAATCAACACCTCATTTGATAGTGGTGGCAAAATATGAACATAACTGGTGATGAATGGGAAGTATAGGAATGATAGTAAGGCTGGCAAGAGAAGGCAAGTTGATTTGTATAGCACAATTCTGTTCAAGGATGATTCAAAGTGCTGTACATGAATTAAACAACAAAATAGAAGGAAAAAAAAGCTAAATGAAAGCAAATTAAGATATTAATACAACAAATGCAGTTAGTAAAACAAATAAAACAGTTGGACCACAACCTTAAACTAATGTTATCTCAGTTAACAGTTTGACCTCAACAGTCAAAGGCAACTCTAAACAAATGGGTTTTTAACTTTGGCTGAGAAGAACTTAGACTTTCAGCCCCTTTCCAGTCTTCTGGGAGTTTGTTCCAGAACAGTGGAGCATAGGAACTCAATGCTGCTTCTCCATGTTTGGTTCTAGTTCTGGGTGTACAGAGTAGACTGGAAGGTTTGGGAGGTTGATACACTGACAACAAACCTGTTAGGTATTGAGGTGCTGATCCATTCAGCCATTTATAGACTAACAGAAGGATTTTAAAGTCTATTCTCTGACCAACAGGAAGCCAATGTAAGGATTTAAGAACCAGGCTGATGTTCTCTACTTTCTTCTTATGAGAACACAGGCAGCAGCGTTTTGGATCAGCTAAAGATGTCTGACAGCCTTTTTAGGCAAACCTCTGAAGACAATGTTGCATTAGTCAATTCAACTAAAGATAAATGCATGAATGAGTTTTTTTTTTTTATATCCTGCTTGACACAAAGATTCATGATATCAGTCATATCAGCCACAGTATGTGGTTTCTAGCTGTAGTAATATGTGGTTTCTAGCTATAGTAGCTGAAGCTGTGAACTAACTCTTGATCTCTCTTCCTTTGATCTGAAGATTATTACCTAAATTTTGTTTATATTCAGTTGTAGAACATTATGGTGCATCCACATATTGATCTGTTCTAAGCATCTAGCCAATGCTCTGATGGGTTCAGAGTCACCTGTTGGCATTGTGATGTAAAGCTGTGTATCGTCTGCATAGCAATGGTAACTCGTGTTGTCTGCTATGCTCCTTTTCTAAATTTGAACTTCAATTTTAAAATTTGTTAGAAGATTTTCCAGTTAGATCTAGACTGATAACAGCCCATATGAAAAGACACCAATTTTCTCGTCATATGCTGATGGCTTTATTGTCAATTAGTTTGAAGTCTAAGTTCCTTGTATCGCCTTTTTATGGATTAAACCAAAATTAATGCAGACTTATTTTTCTTGCAATAGAAAAGTAAAATGAGAATAAACAGACTGTGTAGATATCCAACAGAACCATCAGATTTCTTTGGGGGTAAATTTAGGTGATCAGACAAAATTTTTATATCTGTCCTTTTAAAAGTGAATAGAGGCTCTGTCTCCTCCATGTTTAGGCATGGCAAGGGTCTGTTCAGGGTTGAAATCAGTGTTTGTTGGCTCTTGATAAATGCAGCTTAAGAAAAAGAATGGAAAACATTGTACTTATGTTAGCTACAGTTGTGTTGTTATTGTACTCCTGCACAGCAATTTAAGGCACCAGTCTTCATCTGTATTATATTAAGTGTCAGAGACCAAATTTTGCAAATCACTACTTTATGAAGGGCTTCAATAAGAAAAGTCTTTTGCTGTCCATCTATGCTCTCTTTGCTTAATTTGTTTCCTCGCCTCTGAGTTGCCCTTCTTGTAAAAAAGGCCATTGTCAAGAGGTCCTCTTCTTACAGTGTGAGTAGCTACACCCACACTAAGATTGTGCCAGTGTCACCTACACACTGGTGTCAACATGACTCTATTGCCCACTCCTTAGAAGAAGGCCCTCCTTGCACTTACTGGGCAATTGTGATTTCCTAAACCCAAAAATAAAGTCAAAACAGGTTTTTATCATAATGCAAACTTTGCAGAACCTCATTGTTAAGAATTACTTTGCATCTAATTTGTTCTATATTGTAATTATTTAAAAAAATATTTAAAAGAATTGAAGATGCAAATTTTGAAAAGGCCAGGGATCCATTACTTTGCTCCTATTCCAGAGGTTGAACAGCTACTTTTGTTTTGGGATGGAAGTATTAGATTGTTGCTTTTGCGTGGGTGAAAAGGCATCAAAACATATTGACTGCAGGGCCTCTGCAGCTCCTTAGAGACAACTGAAAAAGACAAATATACCAATATCTTATGCAGAATTAAAAGTAATGCATTGAAAAAAAAAAAAGAAAAAAAAAAAAAAGCACAACAGCTCAGTAAAAAGGCAGGAGGGTAAATTTGGACTTTAGGAGTAGATACATTTCCTGTACTGTGAAAATAACCCGAAGATAATTTCTTAATATTTTCAACTGAATAAGGCATTTTTTAACAGAACATTGTAAAAGGAGATGTGAAATGTTCTTTTTTTTTTTTTAAATGGAACAGCTTTTGTAAAGTAAGAGATTATCACAATGAAGTGTTCTGTACTTCATAGGGATGGGGGTCACCAATGTTGCCCTGCAAAGATATGATCTAGTTCTTTTTCTGTGTGGGTTTCTGAAATGTAAACTGATATGTGAGAACTTGGGCATTGGCTCATGTTAGCAGCAGTTCTAAAGGAGATGCACACTCATCTGCACACTCCTGTTTGGTATTCATCTATTATGTGCCTTAATGATTTTGATTTATTTATAAAAGCTTAAATCATTTTGTCAATTCAGCCTTCACAGTGAGATCTGCATTCGCCTTGCTGGTGCTACGTGGTTTCTAATTTCATTTAGCACTGTATGCCATCTAACATGGGGAGTGGCGGCCGAGTGGTTAGGAAATAGAGCTTGGAATCCTGAGGCTTTGAGTTCGAGCCCCACTACCACAGACAGCCACTCTGGCTTTCTAAGCAAAACCCTTAACCCCTGATTGTTACCCGGGTGCCCCACCATGGCAGCCCACTGCTCCCCAAAGGGGATGGGTTAAATGCAGAGGTAAATTTCTCCAATGTGAAATCAAAAAAGTTCAATTATTATTATTAACTCGCATATATTAGAATTAGACATATTTTATCAGGCAAGAGTACCACCTTTCATTTGCTTTAAAAAATATTTTCTTTAGTGTTATCTCTTTTTCTAAAAAAAATACTAAAAGAAGCGAATAACAGCTTTAAAACATGTTTTAGAATAAAATATGTATGAGCCTGAGGAAAGAGAAGCAAACACATTTTAAAGGTTTATCTGAAAGCAGATTACAAACCGAATACTGTTATGAATATGTGTGCCTGTTGCATCCACTGTCCTTGACTATATTTAATGTCCACGCCTGTAATACTGCACATGGGCACATGTGACATTTATGGGCAATCCTCAACACACTATCTTCCCAGGCTGACGTTTGAGAATTAACGTTTCATTACATTTATGAGGTACATGACTTCCTCATAGATGTAATGATACAGAAGTTATGTTCAACATCTTATCACGTAAACTGGTCTAATTGAACATTTCCCATATGGTGCATTAAAAGACATGTCGTAAAAAGAGTCGCTGAACTGTAAAGGTGATTAATATTAATACTAAACAATTTTTTTTCGTATGTTAAGGTATTGAGGCTCAGATAAAAGTGATCAGGTAAGGAATTAGCAAAGAAATACATATTATGTTTTAAAACTTTGCCTGGAAGACAGCTTTAATGTTAAAGAAAAAAAATAAAAATAAAACAACTATTCCCAGACTGTGATTGAGCTGTGTATAATACATGCAAAATGGCTGTAGTTAATGGTCTTGTCGGCTCTGTTGTGATCTCTTGATTTTCCTCTGATTGGGAGGTTAGTGTGAGGCCACCTGTGAATCAAATGATGGCTTGATATTGTATCCAGAAGGAAATTAGTTAACACAGCTTCCAGAACGCTGACACAGAAAAAAAAGTTGTTTTTCTTTTTCCAAATGGATGCACATTATTGTTCCTGTAAGATTGCAGTTTCTCATCAGAGCAGTTTAAAAAATGAAAGACACTCCGCAGAGGACTTTGCCTTCACAACACATTAACCCTTGTTTGCTTCAAATTACCCCCGCAGCAATAAAATATAATTACCAAAGCAGCTTTGAATGGCTGATGAGTAAGTTGCTAAAGGAAAAGTCCTTCACATAACTTTGTTTGTCTCCTTTGACCTTTTGTCTTTTAAATTAGCTAATGTTTTTGGTTTGGGGTCTCCTATTTTAGTGAAATAATTAAAAACCTTAAAAAAAAAATGACATATAACAGAACTTAGAATAAATCTCTTAGTGTAAGTGAAAGAATGCATTTTTCTTCATAGGTTTAATTTGGATTCAGTAATGCACCATTTGTAGGT